AACCCAAAAGTTAATTTGATCTACGAGTTTCATGAAGGGTTTAAAAGGAAATTTTTATGTTTCAAGATATCCATTAAGAAATATTTTCTTATTTGAATTGTTATCAAATGACCCTCATACTTTTTTATTTTATGCTACTTAGTCATTTACAAATTCTATCTTATTCGATTTAACGCTTCATTTCTTTTTTATTTTTTTTTGTTCTATTTGTCCAATTAAGGTAATTCAGGTGTTTATTAAAAGGTAATTTTATGATCTACAACTTTCATGAAAGACTCAAAAGCTAATTTTCATGTTTCAATTCTAAAAAATACTTTTGAAATTTTGTGATTTCGATTGACAATCTATTTAATTTTATATTATTTTTTTCCAAATGTTCGATTAACAAAGATTCACAAAGACCACTCCATAAAATTTTCGACCCCAATAAACTGGTAAAAGGAAATGAATTTCATTCAAGAAATTTAAAATAGCTAAATTAAAGTTAGAATTAAACTAGATATTATCCCGCGCATTCACTTCGGGTTTTTCGGTTTATGGTTGGAACTGAGTAATTTCAATTGTAAGTAAAGTTTTATCATATGTAATAGCAATTAACTTAAATAGAAGGAAATATTGTTAGAATTCTAATGTCTTTTCAAATAATTATCTACAAGTTGATTGGTCCGCGCTGGCGCTACAGACGTTTTTTTTAAAATCGCCATACATATATTAAAAGATTTTCGCTGTAGATTTAAAATGGAAACAGTGCTTTGACATGTTTATTGGGATTGTTCTATACTTCTATTTCCTTTTTTAAGATACAGATTTTTCAAAAAATAATCGACGGAAAAAAAAGTCAATAAATACAACACTTGTGGAATTGACAAATGGGAGGGTGCAATTAACTAAATCTGGTTCAAGAAATCTTGTAATTACAAAAAGGTAAGGGGAAAGAAGGAAATAAAGGAATATGAAATGCGACTTTTTGAGTCACTTTTCAATTGAGAAATGACCAAAAAGTTTAGTTATTTAATCCCTTTAAGAATCAAAAGTTATGACATTTAAGTAATCTGCCAAGTAGGTAAAGACGAAAAAGATTAGTTCTCTAGCTCATCATCAATCCTTGATGGGGATCTTTTATTAGTTCCACTACTCTATTCAAGTCCATTGAGAAATGACCAAAAAGATTACTTGTTTAATCCCCTCAAGAATCAAAAGTTTGGACATTTAAGTGATCTGCCAAGTAGGAAAAGACGAAAAAAATAAGTTCTCTAACTCCAAAAGCAAGTCTTGGTAGGGACCTTTTAGTAATTCCACTACTCTATTAAAGTCAATTGAGAAATGACCAAAAAGTCTAGTTATTTAATCCCCTCAAGAATCAAAAGTTAGGACATTTAAGTTTAAACTTTAAGTTTAGACTATGGAGACTTCTCTATCGGATAACTTCTTGAATGGAGACAGTGCTTTGACATGTTTATTGGGATTGTCCTATTTCCTTTTTTAAGATACAAATTTTTGTAAAAATAATCAACGGGAAAAAAAAACTAAAGTCAATAAATGCAGCACTTGTGGAATTGACATGGAACTTTTTGAGTCATTTGTCAATTGAGAAATGACCAAAAAGTTTAGATATTTAATCCCCTCAAGAATAAAAAGTTAGGACATTTAAGTAATCTGTCAGGTAGGTAAAGATGAAAAAGATTACTTCTCCAGCTCATCATTAATCCGGGGAGGGATCTTTTAGTAATTCCACCCAGCTCATCATTAATTCGGGGTAGGGATCTTTTAGTAATTCCACTACTCTATTAAAGTCAATTGAGAAATGACCAAAAAGTCTAATTATTTCATCACCTCAATAATCAAAAGTTAGGGTATTTAAGTAATCGGCCAAGTGGGAAAAGACGAAAAAAATTAGTTCTCTTGCTCCTCATTGATCCGGGGTAGGGATCTTTTAGTAATTTCCATATGTTTATTCAAATAATATGTAGTATATGTAGTATATATTGGAAAAAGGAAATGGAGTATTATTTGGAATTCCAAATATATATAATAATATGGAAAATTATACAATATACCGTCAGTGGAGTTTAACAGACTACACGTGCGGGTCTTGAAGGGTGACATGTGTCCCCTTAGTGATTAGATTGAAATATTAAAAATCTAATTAATTCTGAAATGGGATATTTGTCAACCTTTGAACCCGCTTATGGAATCCAAAAACTACACTAACGGTGTATCAAATAATAACTCTAATAATATGGATGGGTTTCTCCCAAATATTCAAATTTGGACAAATGTCAATATGAGAAAAGTCAAGTACTGAGCATATAGCAGTTTGGGGATAACTTTAAGGAAAATTATTCAATACACTGTCAATGGAGTTTAGCAGACTACACGTGCGGGTCTAGAAGGGTGACATGTGTCCCCTTAGGGACAAGATTGTAATATTAAAAATCTAATTAATTCTGAAATAGGGAACTTGTCAACCTTTGAACCCGTTTGTGGAGTCCAAAAACTACACTGACGTTGTATCAAATAATAACTTTAACTTTAATAATAAGGTATAGATAAATTAATTGATGACAAAAAAAAGTAAGAATTTATTAGGAGAGAGGTTAGAGGAGTCAATGAATAAACGGGTACATGTTTTTTTTTTGTTAATTTTATTTTATCTTTGAGAAGTCGAATTAATGTAGCACTCCAAATATACCGCAAACCCAGCTTGCTTATTGAAGGCTAATAGTTGCTAGCTAGGCCGTTGGACCAACTCATGTCTTAAACCGAGAGTGTTTATATTTTATTTTATTTTATTTTACTTATTGTTTATACCACAATTTACATTTTGGGTAAAATTATAAATGCACTTAAGATGTCAAGATGAAAGGCTAAGAAGAATCAATCTCAAAAGTCCTAAGAATGGATGGATTTTAACCATCTTAGGCCAAAGTCAACTAGGAAAAGTTTGACTTAGACCCCATGACCTTAATTTTTCCTAATTTAATTAATGAAATTAGGGAAATTATGTGATTTTTGTTCAAGACATATTTGGGCCGCCCCCTTTACTGCATAAATTAGGGCAAGGTCGGCCCATGCCTTTGAATTTGAAATCAGACCTTCCCGAGATAGACTTTTGGCAACTTTTCGATCAAGGATAAGAGAATTAGGGTTTCAGATTCGAGCTTGATGATGAATAATTTGAAGGTTTCGTCCTTTACTAAATATGTTCAACAAGTTCCAATGAACATGTTGTCCAAATTTCAGCTTATTCCGAGCTCAGAAGTAACTTTTCCTTGTTGTGCAATTAAGGACAGAATTCAATCTCGGGACGATTTTTGCATGGCGATTTCACCAGTAGCATAAAAGCTTGGTCTAGAAGTCGAGCCATGTTGGACACTTTTCGTAACTTTTTCACTGTTTTCAATTAAGGACAGTATGGCCGTTTGACCCCGGTTTAAGCCATTTCCTTAAACGATTTTTGATAAGATTTACATATGATGGTAGTGGCATGGCATTGGACATAATTCAATGTTCAATTGATAAAGTTCAAGTCTTTTGGCATTTGGAAGCAGTTTCAGCACCATTTTGTCTCTTCGCACTTGCTTTCACATCTCTGTTGTTGTACCGAAGCTAATAGGCTTCATTTAATTCCAAAATTTGGTAATTAAATGTGATAATAATCATATTGAGAAGTTTCCTTATTCAAATGGGCTCTGGATTGAAATTTAAATGCATTGGATATGAAGTGGAAGAAAGGAGGATTTATTTTTAGCTGTCGGATTACCATCAACCCTAGCCAGGTCGCCCCCTATATAAACAGTAGTAGCAGCAACATTTTGACTCCCCTTCAAATACATCAACAACTTGCCTAGAGCAATCAACAAGCCTAGAGCTTGATCTCTCAATTCTCAAGCTTTAACTTTTCACTTGTTAATCAAGATCTTCATCTTGTCAATCTCTTTTCATTTCAATCTTGCAATCTTACAAGACAACTCTTGTATTTACTTTTCTCTGCAATCAAAATAACAACTTGTTATTGTCCCTTTCATTTAAAGAAAATTTCCTTTCAACAACAATCAGGTACATTTGAATCTATAATTAATGATTTAAACACTTTTGTGTGATTTTGATTCAGTTCCTGCAAATCGTTTGATATTTATATTTTGCTGCACTCAAAGCAACATTTACTTTCCTCGCACCTTTTTATCAATTTTTGCAACAAAACTTATTGACACGTCCGGTACCCTTCGCCGCTAAAGTCTTCAAAGAGATATTTTGGTGCAACAATTATATATATATATATATTAAATGGCATTTTTTAAAGTTTAGACAAAGAAGATGGGAAAACAAGATATGTTAGAGGATAGAACATAAGAAAATTGCATTCGATCATATGAAACTTGAAACTCAAAGATTATGTAAAAAAAATAAAAAAAGATATCGCAGCTTTGATAGGGCACAAATTTATTGTGAAAAAGTTCCTTTTAAAGTACTAGTATATTAGCATTATTTGTTACCTTCAAATAGCAATTTTAGTACCGAAAAGAATATCAAATAGCAATTTTGTTCTTGACAATAGTAAAGTGTTTGTTATATTTTATCGTGAAGGTAATGGACTTTCTAGCTAGCTTGGCGCAAGGTTTTCATTTTGGTGTAATGTTGTTGGTGCAACTTCTCTTTGGATTGATTCCATTGTTGGAAGAGGATATATCAGGATTCCCAAATTTAAGACTTAAATTTTGGCAAAAAAGAAAAACACACTAAAGACTTACGTAATCTGCGTTGTCTTGTGTACCCCAAAAAAAAAAAAGAATCAAGTGTTGATATAAAAAAAAGTGTCGATGACCCAACAATAAATCAAGGAAGCAATCATTTAATTTCTTTTTATTAAAATCTCATTTTACTATGTGCGCTCCTAGGGTTTTTCCTATGGCAGGGCTTTTGTCTTGTCGCCGTACAAGTTGGGGTTTTATTATTTTTTTCTAGTATCGTTCTGGTTTGTTTAGTCTATCGGATCAATCATGGCGGAAGGTCTCTCGGATCTTTGGGAAAAATTTAAGCTAACGGAAAAGGAAGATTGCGAGGTGGTGGTGGATCGAAAATTAGTGATAGAAACGTTGGATGAGGGGTGATTTTGTATGGTTGGCCGACTTCTCTCCAAAAGGGCGGTTAACATAGAAATCATGAGGAATATTTTGCACCAAGTCTGGAAAGTATGGGGGGATTGTTTATTAGGGAGATTATGATACACACAAATGGAGGAAAAGAAGTATGGAGCGATTTGATGAGTTAAAGATTTGATGAGTTAAAGAATTTGGGAGAAGGAAGAGAAGTTTGTTTTCTGTAATTTCATTTTATGATAATCGAGTGGAAAAGTTCAGTACAAAATAGGTCCGTTGCTCGTACAAGATGAGCACGTGACAAAGCAATAAAATATCTTCTGACAACTTTTGTAATAATATGATAATTATAATTGAATTGAAAATCATAAAGGAAATGGACTGGGTCTAGTGAACCATTTGGGCTGGGCGTACAACAGATTAGAGATAAATTATTTCTCTTTCAATTTGAGATTGAATCTGAGATGGATAGAGTGATCTAACAAGCACCCTGGACTTTTAATAAGGCACTACTAGTGATTAAGGATTACGATGCCTTTGCTTGTGCTGAGGAGATTAAATTGGACTGGTGTCCCTTTTGGGTTCAGGTTCATGATATTCCCCTTGGGTTGATGAACGAAAGTATTGGTAAAGTGATAGGTGATTCTCTAGGACGGGTGGAGGAGATGAATACTTGTGGGGAGAAGATGGCTTGGGGCAAATTTCTTCGTATTCGGACTCGGTTGGATATCAATAAACCATTGCGAAGGGGAATGAAATTCTCGATGGATGAGGTTGGAAAAATTTTGGTGAGTTTTTGGTATGAATGATTACCAGACTTTTGTTATGTATGTGGCCGTCTTACTCATAATGAGCATGGATGTGAAGTAGCTACTCTGATAAGGAAGGAAATTGGCAAACTGGTAAAGGAATCTGGTCCTTGGTTGAGAGCAGAGGTCCCTAGATCCAATGTAGCAAAATTTGACGGGCCGAGTATCAGTGAAACCAAAACAGGAAGTAGACATATTCCTGATCAACAGGTATCCAGTCAGCAGAAAACATTACCAGCGAAGGGAGGTTCATTGGGGATGAACAAGGTTTTATTGCTAGTTGAGAAGCCATCTACGGAATTTCAAGATGAAAATATGGGTCTTACAGAGGCCAATTTGAATATTAACACAACAATGGCTGAGGAGGGCCGAGTAATTGAAAAGGAAGGAGGTTTGCTTGACCTATCTGTTGTGGGTGTTACCATTCGGGAGTCGAATCTTAATCCTATTAATCAGACTGTAGTGTCAAAATCTGGTGGCAGTAAGCTGAATCGAAAGTGGAAAAATGCCGCAAGGACAAGGCCTGGTCCTTATAATGGTGGAAAGTCTCGATCTAACTTATCTGGGCAAAAGAGGTCGAGTTCCCCATGTAATTCATTGGAGACGGGGAAGAGAAGTGTAGAGAGGATGGTGAATTCTCTTCAGACAACATTTCTAATTTTAATACTCCTCATTTGGCGGAGGTTGATTTTACAGGCAACCCCGCTAAGCATCATGAGTATCTTGGCATGGAATCATCAGGGACTGGGGGCAACCAAGGCAATTCCAAAAGTTTAACAGGTGTTGAATAAACACTGTCCCATGTTGGTATTTCTTAGTGAGACAAGGCGAAGTAGCAATGAGATGGAGTGGTTACGGTCGCGGTGGGGATATTAACATTGTTTTAGTGTAGATTTGGTAGGAAGAAGTGGGGGTCTTTCATTACTATGGCATAGTGATTGGGAAATTACAATTTTGAGTTACTCGATTTCTCACATTGATGTTCAGATAGTTGATGCTGAAGGTTCATTGCCTTGGAGATTCACAGGGTTCTATGGGAATCCTATTTCTAATCACCAAAGAGAGTCTTGGCAACTTATTCATACTTTGAATGAGAGAAGTTCTTTACCATGGGTTATAGGAGAGGATTTCAATGAACTCTTAGATGGCTCGGAGAAAGTGGGGGGTGCAATCAGACCTGAAGCTCAAATGTAAGCATTCCGGGATGTGATTATAGATTATGGATTGGAACATTTACCAATTACGGGTCCTGACTTAACATGGTGTTGAGGAAGAGGGGAGGCGGCTGTAAGACTAGATCGGTTTCCTGTGTCTCGACAATGGCGCAACAGGTTCGGATTTTCTACTGAGATACATGAGTTTTCTAGTTTTTCTGATCACCTGCCTATTTTCTCACATAAAGTGGACCAACCGATTCAAAAAGCCTCCCGACAGTCCTCCCAAAAATTTGATAATTTTTGGACGAGACATGAGGATTTTCGAAAGGTCGTTGTTGCTTCATGGGGATCGGTTTCTGTTTCATCTTTGAAGGAGATTATAGATAAAATTCAGTCTTGTTCATATGACTTTGCTAGTTGGAACAAGTCGGTTTAGGGCTTTCTTGGACTTAAGATTATAAATACGCGGAATGAGGTGTCAGCTTGGTATCATTCGGCTCTTGATAGACAGGCCACTAGTAGCTTGAATGACTTATTATCGGAGCTTATGGAGCTGGAAAAATGTCAAGAGGTTTATTGGAGACAACGAGCAAAATCGTTGTGGATAAGAGAAGGAGATCGTAACACTCCTTTTTTTTCCCATAACTTTGCCTCACAACGAAGGAATGATAATTTGGTGATTAAAATTAAGGATGAGAATAATAACTGAAAGACAAATCCGGGAGAGATTGAAGTGGTTTTTGTAGACTATTTTTCAAAGCTTTTTGCCATTTCCAATCAAGGAGTTTTGGAGGATTTCTGCACCAATATCAAGACTATACTGTCTACACTACATCTGGGTCTTTTGAATGAACCATGGAGGGTGGAGGAAGTAAAGTTGGCCATTGATCAGATGAATCCATCAAAAGCACCTGGTCCAGATGGAATGACTGCTATGTTTTTTCAAAAATATTGGGATGTGTTGGGGAAAGAAGTTACTACTGCTGTTTTGGGTTCTTTTTAAATGGTGGTTCATGGTGGCTTGATCTTAATACCACGAACATCATTTTAATACCCAAAGTTAAGAAGCCTGTTCAGCCATCCGACTTTCGACCTATAAGTCTTTGTAATGTTTTGTACAAGATTGTCTCGAAGGTCATCGCTAATAGATTAAAACAGGATTTGCCATATATTATCAGTAAAAATCAAAGTGCATTTGTTCCTAGGAGACTCATTTTTTATAATGCTTTGGTGGCTTATGAAACTGTACACAAATTGAAGTCTAGGAAGTGTGGCAAGCATGGGTCTATGGCACTGAAATTGGATATGAGTAAGGCCTACGATAGAGTTGAATGGGATTATCTCGAGGCAGTTATGAAGACAATGGGAATTCCTGGTCAGTGGATTTCACTTATTATGGCTTGTGTGCATACTGTATCTTACTCGGTTGTAGTTAATGGTAAACAATATGGCAACATTGTACCATCTCATGGAATCAGACAAGGCGATCCTATATTTCCATATTTATTCTTGCTCTGTGTTGAAGGCCTTTCGGCCTTGTTAAATAATGCTGATGATTTAGGTCACATTCAAGGTGTTTCAGTATGTAGGGTGGCACCAAGAGTAACACATTTACTCTTTGTCGATGATAGCTTACTATTTGGGAGAGCAACATTGGAGGAAGCTGATGCGATTTTGGACTTATTGCATCAATATGAGCAAGCTTCCAGACAGTTTGTTAACATAGAGAAATCAACCATTTATTTCTCTAATGATACTCCAATGCAAAATAGAGAAGTTATTAAGCAAAAATTGGGAGTCAAAAGGATGCTTACGGGTGACAAGTACTTGGGGTTGCCTATTCTTGTGGGTCTTGAAAAGAAGATCCATTTTCAACATATTAAGGACCGTATTTGGCGAAGAATTCATCATTGGCAAAGTAAGCTACTTTCGACAGCAGGGAAAGGGGTACTCATTCAAGCCATAGTAGTTCAGACTATACTGGTATATGCTATGAGTTGTTTCAAATTTCCCAAGACTTTTGTTCATGATCTAAATACGTTAATAGCTAGGTTTTGGTGGAGTCATGGGCGGGATAAGCATGGTATTCATTGGGTGCGTTGGGAAGATCTTTCTACCTCAAAGATAAATTGAGGTTTGGGCTTCAGAGACTTTGAGGCATTCAATCTAGCATTCCTAGCTAAACAAGGTTGGAGGTTTATCCATAATATGTTAACTCTCTGTTATAAAATTTTTAAGGCTAGATATTTCCCGACTTCTTCTTTTTTGGATGCTTCTCTTGGTTCCAATCCATCATATGTATGGATGAGCATATTGGAAGGGAGATCAGTCCTTGAACTGGGATCTCGGTGGCGTGTAGGGGATGGTAATTCGATTAAAATTATGGTGGACACTTGGATTCTCTCTTTGCCGACTGAGAAACCAAGTACTATACATCCCAATTTTTTAGATTATGGGTTGGTTTCGGAATTAATTGATCATAATGAGAGAAGCTGGAAGGAGGATTTTATTCGTTCTCTTTTTCTGCCAAATGAGGCGGAAGCTATATTAGATATTACTTTGAGTTTACAGCAGGTTGAAGACAAGTTAATTTGGATAGAATCCAAGCTTGGCGAGTTCACGGTAAAGTCTGCATACCATGTGGCCAGAGTTGGTCTTGATCGAGATGTTCCGGATCCTGAGCTTAGAAACCCCATTTAGAAACTACTTTGAACAGCTAAAGTCATCCCAAAAGTTAAGTTCTTCATATGGCGTTTAACCCATGGTTTCCTTCCTGCTAGAAATATTTTGCATTTAAGACATATGAATGTGATTGATGAATGTTGTGTTTGTGGTTCTCTATCAGAAACTCTGCTCATGTTTTCTTTGATTGCCATTTTGCAAAGCTAGTTTGGAATGTGGTAGCTAATTGGATGCAAGTTTGTTGATACGAATGAGGATGTAAATGATTTTTGTTTGAATCTTTGTGTCAAAGCTCAGTTGAAGGGATGCTTGGACAAAGTTCTTGTTTATCTTTGGTTACTTTGATTTAATCGGAATTCATGTTTACATGAAGGAAGATTTGCCACTAGTGATTAATTAGTCCGCAAAGTTGAGGCCGTTGTCAAGGAATATGAGGAGGGGATGCAAAGTATCAATGGTGAAAGAGTAGTGTCTCGACGGTCTGAGGTGAAGCAATGGATTCCACCAGCTCCTGGGTATGTTAAAACTCAATTGTGATGCTGTCTTTAATCATAACTCGGGTCTTTCTACACTTGGTATGGTTATCTGGAATGCAAATGGTGATGTAGTTCTAAGTGGTGTCAGTAGTGTTGATGGTGTAGCTAGTGTTCTTCATGCCAAATGTATGACGATTAATTTTGGTCGTGAAACAATATGGGAGCATGGCTACTCGAGTTTGCTTGTGGAATCGGATAGTAAACAGGCAATTGAAGAGATCTCCAAGGGTTTAGATTCATTATGGTCAGGTGCTTGTCTGGTTCATGATGTTTTAGCCCTTTCTTTAAAATTTGATTTGATCTCTTTTGCTTTTGTTAATCGAGAAGCGAATGTGCTTCCTCATAATATAACTAAATCTGAGTTTGTAATAGGTCAAAGGGTGTGGTTAAGGTACCTATCTTCACACATTTGTAATCTTTCTCCTTCTTGATAAATAAAGACACGTTTTAACTAAAAAAAAAAAAAAATTAAGGAAGCAAACTGTAGCCTGCCTTAGCAATTGAGAATTGTCAATTGTGTAATTTTAAAAGGCATAAATGCCATTTTGCACCCTTAAGTTTATACGGACTGTCGTTTTGCACCCAACATTTTTATTTTGACCAAAACACACCCTAAAGTTTTATTTTTGTGCCACTTTACACCATCCGTCACGGTAGGACAAATGGATGTCCGACATGGCATGCCACGTGGACAAAAATGGCACGTGGCATTTTTGACACGTGGCGTGCCATATGTCCTTTTTGTACACGTGGCATGCCATGTGGCATTTTTTGTACACGTGGCATGCCACGTCGGATGCCCGTTTGTCCTATCATGACGGAGGGTGCAAAGTGACACAAAAATAAAACTTTAGAGTGCGTTTTGGTCAAAATAAAAAAGTTGGGTGCAAAGTGACAGTCCGTATAAACTTAAGGGTACAAAATGATATTTATACCAATTCTAAAACCGAAAATCAATCACGATTTGGATTTTACAATTTGGTTTCACGGTTTGAACTGAATTGTGATCAAGTCTATATTTTATTCCTTTTTACGACTCATCTTTATTCATTCTTGCAATTTTACTTCATACAAGCATACCTAATTAGGAAAATGAAGAAAGTTAAAATTGCTCCTTAAAAAATGTTGAAATTACTAAGATTCTATAAAAATGACAAAGAGTTTATTGAAATATCCATAAGTGGTCCTATAATTTTGTTTGATTTTTAATTATTTTAATAAGAAAATAACTATGTTAATAACATTCTTACAATTTTGGAGTATTAATGATTTTATTTAGGTCATTTTCCATTGTTTATTTCGGTAATGAAATGCAAGCAAAAAAAGAACTAATAATAAGATTAAAACAAGTAAATAGTAAATTAGTAAATCCATCTAAGCAATGAACAAAAAAAAAAAAGTAAATCCATCTAAGCAATGAAAGAAAAAAAAGTAAATCCATCTAAGCAAGGGCAGAAAGGCAAGATGGCCGGTGTCATCGTCACCGGATCTTTTGTGCCTTAAATAACGACTTTGCCCCAAACTCTCAAAAATCTTCTCCTTCCGTTTCCTTTTCTTTCTTTCCAAACATTAAAAAAGAAGGAAATTTTAAATTAAAATAAAAGAATATTAAACTCCATTTTTTCTTCTTTCTTCTTCTGAAATCTCTTCTTCCCTTTCACCATAATAATTCATTCATTCATTCACCTTTCTCTCAATTTGCAAATCTCAAAAAAGGGAAAAAAAAGTTCCCAAACAACATATAAAGAGATAAAGTTAGAGAGAGAAAGAAACATACACCCAACACATACCACTGCAATAATTCACTTTTTTTTCTTCTTCGCTTTCTTTCCATCTCTTAATTTTTTCCAGCTCTGCTTAGCTCTTCTTTCCATCCCTTCTCCGAACTCAAAGAGAGAGATCTCTCTCTCAAGGTACCCTTCTTCTTCTTCTTCTTCTTCCTCTTTGATCATCATATGTTTCTGTTATTTTTCTCTGTCTCGGCTTTTATATGCTATGATCAAAGGAAAGGCCATTGTTGTAATAATTTTTATTTAATTTTTGGGTTATAATTCATTTGGATCTCCACCCTTTTCATGATTGATTCGATGTTTGTTGATCTGGGTTTGGTTGATCTTGTCTTAGTTTTAATGTGTTTTGTTTCTCTTTTCCCCTTAATTCTTTGTTTTGATCTGTTTGTCTGATGCTGATGTCTGTTTCTCAGATTGTTCTCCTTTTTTGTCATTAAGCCGGTTGATGATAATGGTTTTTGTTTGTTTGTTGCTTCTTAAATCTTTTTCCTTTTTTCCAATTATCTATTCTAAGTTTACTGAAATTCTAAGAATTCAGTTTTATAGCAGCAGCTGCGGAATTGATTTAATTTAATGTTGTTACTTAGCATTAGAGATTGAGAGATCTTAGTTTTGAGCCAAGCGCTGAATGGTTGTTGGATTCATCCAATACCATTTTCCCTTTCCTATTAATCCCCTGATTGATCATGTTGGATAGCTGATCAGTGCCACTAGTGCTAAACTTCCTTTGCTGACTTTCAACCTTCTTTTTATTAGTTTGATCAAATCAAACAGTACATTGCTCTCCTCAGAGTGCTCATTGAGTATTGATGTTTTAAATGCCAAGATATGAGCAAGACTGATAGGTTATGCTGCTGCTTGGAAGAACTGCAGAGAAACATCTGAAACTTGGGGATGGGTGGGATAAGTGGTCTTTTGCTACATAAGTATGGAAATGATGGATGATTGGTTTAAGAGATAGGAGTTCATTTATTGGCCAGAAGGATTGGAGCTGGCTGCAAAAGTGTGCGTAAGGAAGAATGTTGATTGGAGATCACATGTCATGCACGTGAATTTCATGTTGGTTTTTTGAAGTTATGCAATGCGAGATGCATAGATATAAAATTGTTCATGTTTATTCATGCTGAAAATTCACTCCTAATCCTTCATATAGGTGGTGCAGGAATATGAAATTTGTAATGCAAGATCAACTTTGTGAAAGAGTTCTCTTCTGTTCTCTTTTATCATTAGTTTTGAGGACCAGGATCAGCTAAGTATTGAGCATTTGGATGGATGACAATCATTAGGAACTGAAGATGTAATCAGAGTAGTAGCCTAAACTATTCATGAATGATGAACATTTTGAGTGGACAAACAGATTTGATTTTTAGAGGACAAATGTGATATGGCTTTGGTGATTGGGAAATATTAAGTGCATTAGTTACATTTCATAAGGACTATGTGATGGAATTTTCCAACCATTAATGTCGAGAGTCAAAAATTTTATGCTCATCAGTTATTCATGCGTTGAAGTTTTTTCTTAATAAGATTAGTGTTTTTACCATCAAAGCAGCGATATTTGGTTTCTAAACTTGTTATGAAATTATGTTGGGGCTTCCTTGTTCCTATATATCTATATCTTTGAAATAAATGGAAACTTTTATGGGAAGCTGGTCATCATCTGACCTTGAAAGAAAGTTTTGGAGAATACGGGATTGGGCTGCTAGGATTATCAATGTTTTGTACAATTTCTTTCTTTGGAAGCAATACTTTTGCATGCTATGGCACAAAAAGAGCAAACATGCTTTAGTGGCTACTTGAATGATGTAAGAAATGAACCATGTTGACATGCATATGAGATGTCATCATATGAAGGTCCTTTTGTTTTTGTTTTTCTTTTTTAATTTCCAAGATAAACAGATCACTGCATATTTGTGTGTGTTTGTGTTTGGGTGCACTATTTAATTTGATGGAAATTAGGAAAGTCATCCTTCTAATATAAATATCATGCAGTTTGTCTGATATTTCTAAATGCTGGACCTTGATAATCCTTAAGTATTGCCAACGTGGGCCCATTGCTGAAGATTGTGAAAAGCTGTGATTTCTTTAGTTTGAAATGGCAAACATTGTAGAATGCAAATTAGTTGTTGCCTTTCGCCTGATTAATGGACTTGTTTATTTCCTGGTTATATAGTGCACTTTGAAGCTTAAATTGTTGTAAGCATTTTTTTTTCTTTTGTCTATTATATCTTAGTTTTACTTTGCATGATCTAATTTCTGTATTCTCTACAGTACTGTGAAGTTTTCAGCAATTTCTAGACTGCCGAAAGGTTGGATTCTCAAGTTGAGCTATAATATTTTCCCTAAAAAAGACAGTGATAAAGAAGAGTTCTGAGAAATGTCTAGCTCTACAAAAGTTCTGGATCCTGCATTTCAAGGAGTGGGCCAGAAACCGTATCCTTATGATGAAGAGCATATAAGTTGTCGCTTGTCAAGTTGTGGACTTAAACATTTTGAACCTTTACACACACACAAAAAGGAACTTTTTTAAACGTTTAATATTTATATATAGCAAATTGATTTTGTCTTTGATAAGAGAGATTGGAAATGATCACCAAGTTTTTACTATTGTTGGAAACAGAAGGATAGTGGCATATAAACTTTTTTTTCCTTTTGAGACGTGTGGTTATGTTGCATAATGTCCTGATAAATTTTCTAAGTTAAGCCTGTTTAACTTGACATTTTATAGTGGGACTGAAATCTGGCGTATCGAGAATTTTCAGCCTGTTCTGTTACCAAAGTCGGAGCATGGAAAATTTTACATGGGAGATTCTTACATTGTTTTACAGGTGCAAATTCTCTCTTGTGTCCACTTGCACCCATATGACATACATTTCTCCCCTTTATTCTGGAACTTTATAATTCAAATAAGCTGAATCTGTGCTTCTTTATTTTTATCTCATTTGCATCTTTTTATTTATATTTTGGTAGACAACTCCTAGCAAGGGAGGTTCATATCTGTATGACATACACTTCTGGATTGGAAAAGATACAAGTCAGGTGTGCTTTTCTTGCATCAACTTTATGTTTCATTATATTTTTTGAGTATTTAAATGTTCCTCCAAATGAACTAAAACATCATTTCAAATTTTGTTATCACATGCAGGATGAAGCTGGAGTGGCTGCTATCAAAACAGTTGAGCTAGATGCAGCTCTTGGAGGGCGAGCTGTGCAACACAGGGAACTTCAAGGCCATGAATCTGACAAATTTTTATCCTACTTCAAACCTTGCATTATACCATTGGAGGGCGGTGTTGCTTCTGGATTTAAAAAACCAGAAGAAGAGGAGTTTGAAACACGGTTGTATGTCTGCAGAGGAAAGCGAGTTGTCAGGTTGAAGCAGGTATCTGATCTTTTTGTATAAGTTTACGAAGAAAAAAAGCAGAAGAAAGCTTCACAAACTAATTATGTGTGGATGAGTGAAATACTATTTTGTATTATACTCTTGCAGGTTCCTTTTGCTCGGTCTTCGCTTAATCATGATGATGTATTTATCCTGGATACTCAGAATAAGATTTATCAGTTCAATGGTGCAAACTCTAATATTCAGGAGAGGGCAAAGGCATTGGAAGTTATTCAGTTTTTAAAGGAAAAGTATCATGAGGGAACGTGTGATGTTGCTATTGTTGGTAAGGGTGCCTGGATTTACTGTATTTATGAGGCTGTTTTGTGCTGCTTTTCTACTTCTCCACGAGTTTAAATCGAATAGCTTGTGAGAGGTTATATACATACATACATACATACATACATACACATAAATATATGTAATACACACACGCACACACACAAACACACACACACATATATATATATATATATATTATTTATCCAAAGTGGGGCATTTATCTATTTTAATTTATTTAAATGTTAATAACCCTACCAGATGATGGGAAGTTGGACACTGAGTCAGACTCTGGTGAGTTCTGGGTTCTCTTTGGTGGTTTTGCTCCAATAGGAAAGAAAGTTGCCAGTGAAGATGATGTTATTCCCGAGGCTATTCCTGCTACTCTCTATAGGTAATTGTTTTTTCCATTTTAAATTTAGTCGGGAAATGAAATTTCTGGCACATTTAAAATTTTTCTAGTGTTAGATACTATATCACGTATCCTATTTATATGTTTCAAAGAGTACTTCTCTACAAACTTCCATCTGGGAAAAAAAAAAGCTCTAAGCGTAAATTACATTGTTCACCAGAAGGTTTTAAGAATATTTTAATGGTCACCATGATCATGGGTAAAATAGATGAATTGAAGTGTCTTTGTTAAGGTGCTTGTTTTGAGGTAGAGCATGTATTCTTTGGGCAATATAAGTAAGGAGGGACTCCTTATTGACATCCTTTTTAGTTTATATTAGTTAATGTTCCAATTTTTTTTTTCTTAAAGGTGAATGTCTTTATTTAACTGCTAATTTGGGTTATTGGTTCCTGTAGCATAACTGATGGTGAGGTGAAGGTTGTAGAAGGAGAACTGTCGAAAGGCCTCTTGGAAAACAACAAATGTTATTTACTGGACTGTGGAGCTGAGGTTTTTGTTTGGGTTGGACGGGTGACACAAGTAGAGGAGAGAAAAGCCGCCAGTCAAGTTGCAGAGGTCGAACTGGAATCCTGGAATTTAGTCTCCATGTATTTCAGGAATATGGATTATGGATTCTAATACTTACTTTTCGATCTCCAGGAATTTGTTGCTAGCCAGAATAGACCGAGGACAACACGCATAACCCGTCTCATCCAAGGGTATGAAACCCATTCGTTCAAGTCCAACTTTGATTCTTGGCCAGCAGGGTCTGCAGCTCCTGGTGCTGAGGAGGGAAGAGGGAAAGTAGCTGGTAGGGATCACTTAATAAGCTAAAAATAACACTATTATATGCTTTAGTTAAAGTAATTGAATGGGTTTTTTTTTTCTTCTTTTTTTTTTTTTTCCTATTGCTAGCTTTGTTGAAGCAACAAGGTGTTGGTGTCAAGGGAATGACCAAAAATGCTCCTGTAAATGAGGAAGTTCCTCCTTTGCTTGAAGGGGGTGGAAAGATGGAGGTTGAGTTAATAATCTGATTTTATGTTTATTTGTTGTGATCTGATTTTGATGACATAAACTGTTTACTGAGTATGGTAGTATTTGTTTGTCAGGTATGGTGTATAAATGGTAGTGCCAAGACACCATTGCCAAAAGAGGATATTGGTAAATTCTATAGTGGAGACTGCTATATTGTGCTTTATACCTACCACTCGGGTGACAGGAAAGAAGATTACTTTCTGTGCTGTTGGTTTGGAAAGGATAGCATTGAGGTAATTTTTACATAGTTTTTCATTGTGTTTAAATTAGTAACTAATATGCTGTTTTTAGTCATTCTTTAATGTATTGTATATGATAGAAGTGCCTTCCATATATGTGAAACATTGAAATAATATGGACTAGAGTGTTGCCCAGATGAACTGATTGTTATTTTTGACAGACTAATAGATATGCTCTATTAATACGAGTGCCTGCTGATATGAAACTTAAAAGGTCCCTTCCTAATTGCATGCACATCATCAACTTGGCTCGGCTTCTGATCTGGATTTTTAAGCTTCCTAATTAATTTTCTTTCTGTCAGATTCTATCTTGGCACTGTAGGTATAATTAGTATCTATGTCATACACATTGCATATGATTGAACATGTTATAGACATACAGCTCTTTATGTTGTTAAGATAAAATTAGAAATGCCCTTTCTCATGCTACTCTTTAGAAACATAATCTAATACTTTGAAAAAATAAAAAGAAAAAAGAAAAAAAAGAAAAGAAAAAGAATTTCATATTGAATTAAGTGCTGTGCTTTTATTACGTACTAATTCATCTTATATTTGGCTAAGGCATAGTCTTGTTTCGTTTATTTTTAAAAAACCACTCATTGGAGCTGGGTGTGAGGGAATGCTAGACGTTTGGTGATTTCTCCTCTGACGAAGACAGAAGATATTATTGTTACATTTAATAATTTGCTTAAAAAAAAAAGAAAATGAATCTTATTGGAAGAGTAATATAGTAAAAACTAAACAGAAGAGATTTACAGGTATTCCTTTACTTTCTATATATAACAACAATCTACTTTTAAGGAATTTTTTAAAAAATTTTTTATTAGAAGAATAAAATAGAAAAAAGGTAAACAGTGGAATTTTACAAATATACTTAATTTGATTAAAACTTAAGAAAAAAAAAGTGTTTTAAAAAGATTTAATTGTAAAAAACTATTGGAAGAAAAAGAATATTCTAGGCGTTCTAAAAGTTTTACCCAACTCAGACTTTCATATATATTATAGATTAACTTTGGTCCCTCCCTTGTCAATCTTGAAGGACCTTGACCATTGATGGAAGGTAGAATTTTGGTCATTGGGTACTTGTAAGATCAGGCTATGAAATTAGTGAATAAACAAGCACATATGTATATGTATAAGTTCTGGAACAGCAGCAACACTTTAGTTCGAGGAAAAATTATATTTGGTAAAAATCTATGAAACTTTGGGAATTCTATTCTGGTTTGTATTGCAATAATAGTTGCTGGAAACTTATAGTTGTTCAGGGGAGTCCCGATCTGGATGCAGCTGCAATGGTGTGAATGGTTAGGAAAGGTTTCTCATTGCACAAAATACAGCAATTAATGGCTCAGAATTAAGATTGCATGCAAATTTTTATCACACAAATCTAGGAAAGTAAGGCCCATAGTACTTATCTGTAGTCTGACAAATTTACCAGAGCTCCCGTGCAACCTGAACAAAAAAATCAAAAAGGAAATGAAAGAAACTGAAATTTCTGATACGAAATTGGGCAAAAAAAAAAAAAAAAAAAAGGAAGTTGATAGCTGCTATATGATGATCCTACTTAATTATAACCTGTATTTCTCTGTCGATAGCTAGTGTATGTTAAATTTCTTTCAAAGAAGTTGAACTTTACTGTTGTTGATATTTGAGAATTTGAGCATGTTTTTTACAGTTTGTTGTGCTTGCTTCATAAGATGAATTAGCTTCTTACTGTTTTAGTGGTTATAATATCGTGTTTTATTTGGGGCTTGTACTCTGCATTGAATCTGTATCCCCTCATTTTATTTCTTTTCTTAAATGTAGCTTCTACTTGTCATGTTCTTTGCATAGCTGAAATAGCTGCTTACATAGTTATTTGCTAATTTAATGGACTTTATTCTAGTGCTGATCATTTGCCCTAGTTAAGATTTTAGTTTCTGAAGGTATATTATTTCTTAATTCAGGAGGACCAGAAGATGGCTTTTCGGTTGGCTAATACAATGTCTAATTCGCTTAAGGGGAGGCCTGTTCAGGTATCATATTACCTTTGACTGAGTAGTATGATTCTAAGTGTTTTCTCTCTCTCTGTCTCTCTAATAGATGCTTCTTGCAGGGTCGAGTATTTGAAGGTAAAGAGCCTCCACAATTCATTGCACTTTTTCAACCTATGGTAGTCCTTAAGGTATTCATTTGACCTCAAAGTTTTAAATCTCCTACCACTTGCTTGTGAGTTTTTAGCGTAGAATTGGAAGTTATCAACTAAACTTATTGCTGTGATTGGTTCTCTTTTAGGGGGGTCTAAGCACTGGCTACAAGAAAAGTATATCAGACAAAGGCTTGACAGATGAAACCTACACGGCAGATTGTGTTGCTCTGTTCCGGATATCAGGGACTTCCATTCACAATAATAAAGCTTTGCAAGTGGATGCGGTAGGCATTATATGGTTATTTTATCTCCTTTTGCCTTTTAAATTACGTTTGGTGATGGTTTTGAATTTAAAATGCTTGAATGTGGCTTTTCTTAAAAATTTCACGCAAACACTAGTTTAATATTGTTTGTTTGCACTTGTGAAGTTGGTGGCTTTTTGTTTGATTTTGATAAATGTGACATTGAAAGGTGTTATACCTAGAATACGTTCTCAGATTCTAAGTTTGGCTTAGTCTAGTTATCACCTGATTGTGAACATGGAAAGGGGCAGAAAGGGGACCAAAAATGCCACTTGTAGAATCTGAGCACTTATCTTAGTAGTAATGCGTGGAAGCAACTTTTAATTGACTACCAAAGGTGTCACAATGACTAAATTCCTGCAGTTTGTTGTCATGTAGTGTGCAGCATAAGATATTCCTTTTGTATACTAACAGCAATATCTCCTTGTTTTATAACTATTTTTAGGTGGCAACATCATTGAACTCTACTGAGTGTTTCCTTCTGCAATCTGGATCTTCAATTTTTATTTGGCATGGAAATCAAAGCACTTTTGAACAGCAGCAATTAGCTGCAAAAGTGGCTGAATTTTTGAAGGTACGCTCTTTATTTATCTGATGTTATTTATGGGCTTTGTTATGACACAAGACAAGATTAAACCATGGGTTTATTTGGAAACTGGTAATGACTTGATATAATTACAGTCTAGCATCACAAGTCAAGTCGACCATTTCATAGTACAGTAAAAGATTTAATAACAGGAATTTATGCCCATGTATCCTGTTTCAATCATGTTGGCAAGATTTAATTCTTATCTAATGATTACAGGTCCTATGAGTCGAGTGTTGCTCTAAGTTTTCATTTCATCACAAATCTTCAGCTGATAATGCATGTCTGCTATTCTTAGACATGTAGTTGCTTGTCATCTGCAATTTTTTCTTTTCCTTTTGAATTTCTTCTGATTACTTAGTGGAACAAGTTAAAGATACTCGATATAAAACATAGGGTTGGAGTATTTCGTACTCTTGCATTATGCATCATCCTGGCATTAAGCTTTTGTGATTTGCTCCTTACTAAAGTCGATGGTAGCACCATATAGATCTTTTAAAGATCTCCCATGCCAATAAATCATCTAATAATATTCTCTTGCATTCAGCCTGGAGTTGCTCTTAAACATGCTAAAGAAGGAACTGAGAGCTCTGCCTTTTGGTTTGCACTTGGAGGGAAACAGAGTTATACTAGCAAAAAAGCATCTAGTGATACTGTCAGGGAACCCCACTTGTTCACATTCTCTCTTAACAAAGGTGTCTTTTCCGATTTATGAATTTGGTTTAATTTTAAATTTTTATGCTCTTAAGTTTTTTTCTTCCTCCTCCCCTAAGTTATGAGCGAAGCTCATGACCGTACTAACATTGTTTCTGTGATTTTATATCTTTCGATGTGATACCACAGGAAAGGTTGAGGTGAGTTTGAGACTTCTGATTTAATCATAAGTCCTTTTTCTCCGGTGGGTTCTATTTGTAATTTTACATTCTGTTGTGCAGGTTGAGGAAGTTTATAATTTTTCTCAAGATGATCTCTTGACAGAGGATATTTTGATACTCGACACACATGCTGAAGTGTTTGTGTGGGTTGGTCAGTCGGTAGATGCTAAAGAAAAGCAAAATGTATTTGAAATTGGCCAGGTAATAGATAAATGTATGATTCCTTCGTCATTTGATCCTTTCAATTTGCTTGTTATTTATATTGATTTTCTTTGCAGAAATACATAGACATGGCTGTCTCTCTAGAGGGCTTGTCTCCAAATGTTCCTCTTTACAAAGTTACTGAAGGAAATGAACCCTGCTTCTTCACAACTTTCTTTCAATGGGATTCCACACGAGCTACTGTATGTGTGTCCTAGACTGGATTTTTCTACTTTATCATTGAGTGAAAGTTACTTCAAATTAATGTTTGAGTGCTTTTATCTCATCAGTAACAAATGAGGAGATGGTTTCTATTAAAAAAGAAAAAAAAAGTTATATTCTCAGCTTGTCTATGCAAAATGGAACACATTAAAAAAATGATACTATATGGCTTGAACCAGTGCATTTGTATAAAAGATTAATTGCAAAATGGAAAATGTTGCATGCTATAGGCCTTGAACCAATGCATTGTATATCATTTGATGGAAAGTAGAAACTATAGAAAATGTTTAAATGCTAGTCCAAAGGAGAGCCCGTGTAGATTAGATGATTATTTAGTTACACCTTTAACCATCAATGTAGCCTAGGTTTCATGAGTTTCTTTCTCTGCAGGATAAAACCAAATAAGAAAGCAGGGAAGGGCTTAGACAACTCATGAGGTGCAAGAAATAATTAGTTAAAGTATAAAAGTTTATGCTGTAATGAAGAGTCCCAGGGATGGAAAACTATGACAGAAAGCATTATGATGATTTTGCTTGGGATGGTGCACTGTGTTTAAAGAAAGTTCTATTCAATTCCAAAAATTAGAATCAAAGATCATACCATTCAGAGCCTCTTTTATTTTCAATAACATAAGGAGAAAAGAAAATAGTTCTACTAGCTCTATACTAATCCTTATGAATATATTATGAAACCCTACGTTGTTTGTTCAAGGTTAACCGCTGTAGTGCTCATATGGTTCATCCCTCCTTTCATTTGTTTTGTATTTAATTTATCTGTTTGATATTCATGCTTAGATGTTTTCTGTGGAACACAGGTACCGGGAAACTCATTCCAGAAGAAAGTAGCATTGCTCTTTGGGGCTACCCATGTTGTAGAGGTAAAAAGCCCTTTCTTTAATTAACATGTAGTTACAACTTTTTCTATATGAAGTTTCACAGAGAAATTTGGATCATAAAATTAAATAGGAATCAATTTTCAAGGCTCCTTTGTGAAGAAAATAACCCATTAAAACAGTGATTTTTTAATTTTTCTTTTTCTGAAGTGGACTGAAATTATGATGAGATTTTGTTATAATGTCTTTTGACATTGTTATATAAGCTTGTTTTTGGCTGGCTTCCTGCAATTCTTGCTTTGATGTGTTTAAAACTTTTAGTTGCTTATTTATTGTGGGCGTCAAGAGCTATTAGTCCATTGGAATGTTGTTGATAAACTTTACCGAGAAAGAGGAAATATTGTTAAGAGTGGCATAAACAAAACTTTTAAAATGAATTAACTATATGGCCTGTTACAGTGTTGTGATGTTGAATGTTCGTAGACGTTGCCCCTAGGTTGGAGCCTTTGCTCTTTTACCTTTTAGTCCTTGTGGGCAATAAAGTCATCTGGAAAATAGCAGACATTGTCTGAAGAGAATATCGTCTCTGTCTCTCTCTCAATAGTCAATTCATTTACTAAACTAGTTCCCTGACCGGTGGATTATATGCTGCTGAGACAGGACAAGTCCAATGGGAACCAAGGGGGTCCCACTCAAAGGGCTTCAGCTTTAGCTGCCTTGTCTTCCGCATTCAATCCATCTTCTGCCAAATCAACCCATTCGGTAATAGTTGCTCATGCCAGAAAATTTATCAATATCTTTTTTTTTTTGGCTATTATGCTTTTATTTTTCTTGGTTTTGACTTCATTTACTTTTGAGTCTCAATTTTTAACACCTGAAAAAGAACTAGTAAACCTGTTGTACACTTTCTACAACCAAAGATGGAGAATGGTAAGACTATTAGCTGCTTCTGTCTGGAAAAGAAGATCGTGCTTTATGGCAGCCTTTTATTGAAAAAATGAAAAATTTGCAGTTTTGATTCTTATATTTAGTTGTTTGCATTGGTGGTTTGATATAGTAAATTGCTCATACTGCAGATAACCCACTTAATGTGTCGGATTTCATTTACTTAGACATGTCATCTATAGTGCAAAACGGCATTTTCCCAAGTTATAAGATCGCTACCCTTGTACATTTTGATCATTATTTACTGCTGTCTATTATAGCAAAATTAAGTTTTCCCTAGACATCCCTATCTCTGCGCCCTTTGTTTGTTGACATGCTTTGTTAACAGCTGCTTGAACCAGTCCTGACATTAGCTTTCCACTGGACAGAATAAATAAATTCAAGCAAGTCATCCTCCATACTAGTTAAAAAGCTATTTTTTATCATATAACTGATTTTTCCTGCATTGCCAATTATTGCTTATTTAGAATACAATTCTTTTCTAAGAATTTACTTTCTCACTATATATTATATTGGTTTTAAACTTCAAACACCTGCCATACGCACAAGCACTTGAGATAAATTTTCTTTGACCTTTCATATAATATGCATAAAGGGTGGAACTTGACATATGGATAATGGATCAAATGTGAAACTTTGTATTCACCTTATTACTGAGGAACTTGAGTAGAAATTCATTTTAGCAATTGCTGCAAGGAAGCAGAAGAGAGTCGTAAGGATCCGATGAACCTTACCAACATAGCAAAGATAATTACCTCTTGGTGAAGTTCATTATCCTCTCAATGGGGAACTTGAGTAGAAATTCATTTTAGCAATTGCTGCAAGGAAGCAGAAGAGAGTCTTAAGGATCTGATAAACCTTACCAACATAGCAAGATAATTACCTCTTGGTGAAGTTCACTATCCTCCCAGTGCCTTTCAAATTAGTCAATAGTTCATTAAGATAGCCTTGATTGTGCATCCAAGTTCACCTTAATCAGAAAAGACCCAAGTGGATCAAAGGATGAGTTGCAAGTATAGGTTATTTGTTGCTTCATGTTGTCTTTCATCTAGTGAATGTCTATGCATCCCGCCTCCTAGGATTTACGTCTGTCATGCACTGAAACTGGGCATTGCCTTGTTAGCTATGTGTTTTATCCGTGGCTAGATGTGTCGGATGTTACCTTGGTCCCCCACCCCCACTTCTGCCCAGTTAATTTCAGCTTGATAATGCATTTCTTTCCCCTTTTTCAATTAGATTGAATATTAGTTCCATGTTTTCATCAGTTACAAATATTTCAACTTTAGGTTATTCATTTGACTCTTATTTTTGTATGTTTCTGGATGCAGCTTGTTGTCTTTTTAAAAAAAAAAAAAATTCCCATTTTTAGCTTCCATTTTATCATGATACATTTCCTAATATATTATTATTTCCGTATATTGTGATGATGATTGCAGTTCTGTGTGCTTCTGTTTTGAGATTCGAAGGATTTAGTTATTTTCTTGTGATTTAGGTAGTTAAAATCTGACATTGTTGCAGGCCCCGGATCGATCCAATGGAAATCAAGGACCTACACAAAGAGCTTCAGCCTTAGCCGCCTTATCTTCTGCATTTAATCCCTCATCAGCAAGCAGAACCTCTAGTCCAAGGCCTTCCAGTACTGGTCAGGGTTCACAAAGAGCAGCAGCTGTAGCTGCCCTTTCCTCGGTTCTTACTGCTGAAAAGAAAAAATCACCTGATGCATCCCCTACAAAATCCACTAGCAGCACTCCTGTATTAACCAGCCCACCTTGTAAGAATCCTTGTACTCCTTTGGACAGTGTTGTCTTAAAAAAGTACCATTGTTTTAGGTCCAGAAGAAGTTGCTAACTTTAATAGGGGCAGTGCCTGATAAGTAAATTTGACCTGCTGTGTTTTCGTGTAACTTCTCTAACTGTATGTGATGCACGACTTTATACAGCTGAAGTAAAGAGTGAATTGGACCCTTCAGAAGCAGAGGAGTCTCAAGAAGTTCCGGAAGCCAAGGAGAGAGGTGCAGTATCTGAAACCAATGGGGATGATTCAGAACCAAAGCAAGAGACAGAGCAGGATGAGAACGACACTGGAAGCAGTCAAAGTACATTCAGTTATGATCAACTGAAAGCCAAATCGGAAAATCCTGTAACTGGAATTGATTTTAAGCGGAGAGAGGTAAGTACTGTCATTAATGTTTCCAAGTTCATTTCATCTTTTCTGAATGCTCATGTTCTTACCCTTCAATCTCTCAGGCTTATTTGTCAGATGATGAGTTCCAGACAGTATTTGGGATGACTAAAGAAGCATTTTACAAATTGCCGAAGTGGAAGCAAGACCTGCTGAAGAAGAAAGTTGATCTATTTTAGAGCATGAACTCATTTCTACAAAGTATTTATGTGCGTCCTTTGCATTCTAACTAGCGATTCCTCATTTATTTTGGTCTTCTCTGCTTCCCGAACATTGTGGTTTCGTTGGTATAAGAAGCCTTGATTGCCATGTCTAGCATTTTGTCATTTGCCGTTTTGATGAATGTAGTTGTGGTTAGTATCGGGATTGATCGTGATGTTGCATGAAAGAGTGATTTGTTATTTTTTTCCCCACCTCTCCTCTTAGCTTCACTGCCTTTGTAATGATCACATATATTGTAGTTTAAGGACAGTTGGCAGTCAACATTCTTTTATTTGGTTGGCATGTATCTCATCTTGTGATTATTCAACTTTTTTCTTGTTTTAATTTGTTAAAAGGTGGTGTATATGATTTGCATTTGTATTGAACTTCAATATAAGTAATGAAAATTCATCGTTTGAGAACATCTGGTTTTGTATTTTCTTTAAGGAATCAATTTTCTTTTCTTTGAAGGAGATGAAGCCATTTAAATATTGTAAATCTTGTTTGGTAATAGATGTTTCTTGTGCTGTAGCGTGTAGTTGAGACTTGAGATGTATTTGTTGAAATCGACTGCATTTTAACAGATTAGTATCTTCTTCTAATCATTTTTCTAGTGGAATTTATGAAGCTTGAGACTAGATTGATCTTGTTTTCGGCTTTGCAAATAAACAAAGATGTTTATGATGCTTTGTTTATGATGCTTCCCCATTTGAGCTATCTTTATAGTCTTAATGAAATTGGAAAGTCAGACAATAAAACTTTGCTTAAGGTCTTCTACTCTTCTTTTCTACCCTCCTAAGGATGGTGACAAATTTTGATGATCAATTCAATTAAGGCTGCTTACTTTTGGGTGCTTTTCCCTTCTATGTTTTACTTTCATGGGAGGGGCCTTGAAAATTTATTTTCAAGAAGACTATTGAATCTGCCTGATTTTTCCAAAACCCATTCTTAGCTGAATAACTTTTCCTTGGGAAAATTTTTTGAGAATCTAGTACTAGTATATATTTTAGATAGCCCTGGATGGCATCTGCATTTTAGAGTTTAGCTTTATAGCTTAATAATTGTTTTATATCTTGAACTTTATTATAAAACTAAGAGAAGCCCTATTATTTGCCATCGGTCATTTCGCCTGTTGGTAGAGTGCTGGCTGTGTGTTTGGATAAATTTTTTAGGGATCAATAAAGGACAGGATAGGATGGGAAATGAGGGATTTTTAAAGGAAACGAAGGGAATGACCAATTCTTGTTTGGATTGTTTAAAATATAAAAAGTAAGGAACATGAGGGACCACCTAACATTTTCTAAATAAAAGTTTCGTTGGTCCTTGTTGGTACTCCAATTTGGAGTACCAAAAAATATGGACTTATACAGTGTGTTTGGATAAATTTTTCGAGGGATCAGTAAAGGACAGGATAGGATGGGAAAGGAGGGATTTTTAAAGGAAAGGAAGGGAAGGACCAATCCTTGTTTGGATTGTTTAAAATATAAAAAGTAAGGAACATGAGGGATCACCTAACATTTTATAAATAAAAGCTTTGTTGGTCCTTGTTGGTACTCCAACTTGGAGTTGGAGTACCAAAATATATGGACTTATAAGGATCAAGAAGGACCAAAATTGGTCCTCCAAAACCCATGGACCAAATCTAATTTCCAATCCAAACATGGGTCACTAACCAAAAAGACCTCCCGTCCTGTCCCGTCCCATCCCGTTCCTTACTGGTCCCTCAATCCAAACAAACTGATAAGGATCAAGAAGGACCAAAATTGGTCCTTCAAAACCCATGGACCAAATCTAATTTCCAATCCAAACATGGGTCACTAACCAAAAAGACCTCCCGTCCCGTCCCATCCCGTTTCTTACTAGTCCCTCAATCCAAACACACTGTTAATACCAGTATATGGCCTGTTGGTAGAGTGCTGGACTCTTAATACCAGTATAGATGGACCATAAGGTCTTGGATTCTACTCTCACGGAATGTGAGTTTTCTTTGTAATTTATTTGTTTGTGTGAATTTTTTTTTTGTAATTTATTTATTTGTAATTTGTAAATAGGGAAGCCAATATATTAGCACATTCTCTAGCTGAGATTGAGCTGGATAATTGTGTGGTGCGGGAGGAGGTGCGGGACTATTCTTCCTGGTGTTTGTAATCTCTGATTATTAATTAATGAAAGTGATTATTTGATCTCAAAAAAAAGAGAAGCCCTATTAAATTAACAATAAGGGGGCGTTTGGATTGGGGTAATATCAACTTAACCCCGTAATGTGACCCCTGTAATGTGATATTAACTAGTTTGGTTTGCATGAATCGTACATTACCCGGTTATAACATTACCGTGCCACGTCAGCTTTTTGGCCACATTACCGGGAATCCTAATACCGACTCCCCCTCTGTTATTGTGACATTACCGAGCTGCTTCCTTATTTTGGACAAAATAGCCCTCACTAATTAGCATGTTATGACTTGGTTGCCCTCAGTTTTCAAGTTTATTACATTTTTTTTTGAAAAAAGTAAATTCATTTATTCATATCATGTAGGAGTAGGATTACAAATTCAAGTTTATTACATTGAACCATCATATAAAACATTACCTAATTTTCCATTGTTTTATTCTTTCACTCATTTTTTCTTTTATCTCCAAACCCTAGCCGCTCTCTTCTCCTTCTTCTCTCTGCAAACCCCTCTGTTCTACCATATATTTGCGATTGCGGAGTTTAGGTTGCTTCTTCGATTTCATTTTCTTCGAAGATTCGAACGTTTGCGGCACTTCCTTCGGTCAGTTTCATTTTGAAAATTTTTTATCCTTGCTTTCTTTTTTTCCTTTGCTTCTGGTTGTTGTGTTTTGCTTGGGTTTGGTTATGGCTTCGTTAGTTTCATTAATTTTGGGTCTTCTAGGGTTTTAGGATTTGTGTATTTATGAAATTCTTTTTTCAAATTAGGGATTTAAGTTTTAAAATTTGGGGATTTTTATTTGGTATAAATATTTGTTGTAAAAATGGGGTTGTAGATTAAAAATTGGGGATTTTAATTCGGTCATACTTGCCAAGATTGTATTTCTTTTATCTGCAAAAGCCGCTCTCTAGATTTCTTACATTTTACTTTTCGTTTTTGGTCTTGAAAAATGGATTAATCTTCTATGTGCATTTCCTCTGTTTTCCTAATTCTGCATTATTGTAATGTTAAAAGTTAATATGATAGGATGCTAGTAGGTTTAGGGCCTCTCTTACGCCCATTGGTTTGAAGAAGATTGGATTGAAAACAAGTTAGTAATAGATTGAGATTTGAGAACGTGTTCTGGGGAATAGTTGATATCATTCAATACTTTTCAAGTGATTTAATGTTGTTTTAGCAACTTGTCTGTTGGTATTAGAATGAGAAAATATTGATGTTAACATGATTGTTTTTCCTTTTATATATAGATGGCAAATCATAGGCCTAGTGATAAAAGGTTATGGACTGTTGAGGAAGAACATGCATTAATACAATGCATGACAGAGATTGTTAAACAATGGGCAGTTAATATTGATATTGATAGGCTTGTAACAATGATGGGGCATAAGATGCCTAATTGTGGACTTAGGAAAGTGCATATTCATAGTAAGGTGAGATTTCTTAAAAGGCATTATTTTGCTATCGATCAACTGTTGCGAGCTCCATATGGGTTTACTTGGGATAAAGAAAATCATAAGCCTATTGGAGATCAAGCTGTCATGGACATGTGGTTTCATGTAATATAATTTGATTAATATTTAGTTTATAATAAGAACTAGTCTTGAATTATAGTTTGATTGTTAATGGATATTGGTTGTTTAGGAGAACAATCTATATGGTGGGTGGGTTAGAAACAAGCCTTTTCTTTGGTTCCTGGAGTTGCAGTATGTCTTTTCCAAGCAACGTGAAAATTTTCCGCGTTCCCAAGTGCAACAGGATGATGATGGTACTAATGTTGAAGGAGAGAATGATGATTAAATAGATTTAGATAGTTCAAGTATTGTTAGTACTACGATAAGTTTAGGACTTCAAAAACTTGGTTTGCTTTATATTTATCTCTCATTTGCTTGATGAACTTAATGAGCATCAAACTTTTTATGCTTTTATAAGTAGTACTTATTTATCTATTTTTAGTATTTGATAATTCTTCTTTTATTTTGTTATGTTTGATGAGGGTAAAAATGGTTGGAAAATATTATTTTGTGTTTGATGGACGTAAGTCGGGTAATTATAACACTTGGGATGAAGTAAAGTTACAAGTATTAGGTTATCGAGGTGCCAAACATAAGATGTATAAGGATCGTAGGGATGCCGAAAATGCATTTCTTGAGTATTGGAGTTTGAATGAGAATGAGAATGAGGTTCATTGGAATGCCGAAACTCCCACACTCAATGGTGCAATTGAGTCCCCATTTCACAAGGATTTAATTATAGGATTTATTTTTGGTGTGTTCACCACTTTACTTATTTTGTATGTAGGGAAATGAAATTTCATTGCCTTGATGGCGGTGAATATTATTATGTTAAAAAAATGTATAAAATTTTAAACTAATGATGTTAAATTTGGGTTAATTAGCTATTGTTGTTGGATACTTGGATTGACTTGTGTATGCAATTTGGGTTGTCTTTCCCAGGACTTAGGTATTTTTTGTGTGTCAAATTAACTAGTAAAGCAAGGGCATTTATGTAATCTTATTTTTATTACTGACAAACATTACTGAAAACCGAACGGGTGTAAAACATTACCCCTGAATCCTAACCAAACAGAATTAGGTGCACATTCCGGGAATGTGCACCCATGTAATATTTGGCAGTAATCTCATTACAATCGGTAATATTTCATGCCCCTAATCCAAACGCCCTCTAAGAGTTTAACACTCTATTAAACTATTAACAAATCCCAATGGGACACCCCAGTGGTTAAAACTTGAGATTTCTTACGAGAGGTCTCGAGTTCGACTCCTGGGATGGGCGGAGTGGGATTTGAG